TTTGTGGGAGAGTACAGACACCAGATCACCTTCTCCTATACTGCTGGCACTACAACACAGAAAGGCAAGCGACTAAAAGCAACTCTTCGACGAGAACTACCTAACAATCCAACTACTCCTCCACACTAGCAAAGGCAGAGAGGCGACTTTAGCTTTCATTGCTAAAACTAGAGTAGGGACTAGAGGCTGGCATCTAGGCCAAGAACAAGATAACTAAAAATAAGCGAGAACAGAGAGACACTACCTAAAACTAATAATAATGTAATTTACATCTAGCGCTAGGCGGGTAGTAGAGTGCCTAGATGACACTAAATCTCTATAAAGGGTTTTGCAGTTACAGAATACGGGATGGGCATTAAAATAGGTAACTATACGAATCACGCAAAGCGTGAGTTTAAGCGAGCAACCTCCTGGCGTTAACCTCTGCTACCACATGCGCGCGACTGGGGCTCTATAAGGTTGCGGTGCGCTCTTTTCTGCAACATGTGTTACGGTTACCTGCAGCGACAAGGCTTCCTCGGCCTCCTGCGCAGCACGTTTGAGCTTCTTACGTGTTCCTTTGTCTGCGGTGGCCTCTGCCTCCTCCTCTACCACTGTCTCTACCGCAATGCGCTTCGGCCGACCACGTTTTCTCTTGCCTTGCGCTGATTTGTTCGCCTCCCGCTCAGCACGCTTTACTCGTGCTGATACGATGTCCTCGTAGCTCATTACCCTCGCCTTTCCCTTCCCAAGGATCTCCGACTTTGTCTTCCGGCGAGTTCTAGCTTCGTCGTTCATCTTCGATAAGAGCTCAATCTGGTATTGATCAAGGGCCTGTTGGGCAAAGGATACTTCGGCAGCGTTGGCGAGCTTCTGCACGAGCTTACGATGTCGCTTAATACTTATTTCATCGTGAGGATCTTGCTTGACTAGGGTAAGCAGCGATGCAAGAGCCTCTGACGATACTGGAGTCACTGGTGTCTGGGCGATTGTGTTTTGTGAGTGTGGTCCACTCTCGTCACGGGGGGCATGGATAGGCAGTAGGGTAAGTGCGTCAGGGACTGGCTTTGCGAGGTTTCGGAGTACTCTATCTGGGTTAAAAGGGAACAAACCAGATTTGGCCCATCCTGCGAGTATGTTCTTCTTAGTCATCGCCTGCTCTCTTGCGGGGTAGTATAGAGTGGTGAAGTGCTCCTTGTTTATTGTAGTCATACCTCCTCGGTATAGCCGTTCTACCTGGTCGCGATAGGCTGTCTTCAGTGGAGCAAAGACCGCAACATCGCAGGGCTGGAGCTTGTGAGATGTATGAGAGGGAAGTCGGCACAGAGTAATATTGTTTTCGAAACAAAACTCTAGTATTTCAAGAGTCTCGTGTGTGCCAAAGCCGTCACATATTAGCACGCGTGGTTTCTGGTTAGCTCGTGCCTTAGTTTGGGGGTCGAACACTCGTTTCATCCACTCTAAGCTAAGGTAGGAGTCGTTGTAGCCAGACTCCGAGAATGCATAGACCCATCCTGGGGTCGGGTACGTGGTCCAGTTGCTCCGATGGGTAGAGGCTGGCCAGATGATCATTGGGTTTAGACACTCACCACTTGCCGACACGCACTCAACGGCAGTTACCATCGTCCGCTTTACGCCGGCACCTCTATAGTCTCTTCGGCAATCCTTACCTACTAGAACTTTGACAGAGCCCAGCATAGAAAGCATTACTCCTGTCTCGTCCATGTTGTACACCTTCTCCGACAGTATGTCCGGCCTACAAAGCTCGGGTCCAATCACCTCGAACCAGTGTGTCACCTTGTCGTGTATGTTGTTGTCGTGACGATTCCAATCCATCGCCCTGTTGTTCCTCCGCGCGAGTTCTGGATGGCGCTTTGCAAAGGCCTGAGGCCAGTTCTTGTTCGGCGGCTTGATCGCTTTCGTCGCGGATCGCCGACGGGCAATGCTAAAAGCTAGGGAAGGTATGTCCTTGATCCGCAAGGGAAATCCAAGAGCTGCTGATCTGGTTATGTGCCGGACGAAGGCCTTTTCTTCCGACGGCGTGAGGTACTGCTGGCGTTGAGCCTTCATCTGCCGCGATGGTCGTCCCTTCGCACGATACCACACGGTGGTACGAGACACGGGGACATCGCTGCATTCTGCTATAGCAGTATAGGTCCTACGCACACTCGTGGGTAGGCTCTGCGTCAGGGCCAGGCTGGCTGGATCCATAGCTACTTACTGTGGTGATGATGCATGGGCGTACAGCGCGAGCATGAATGGCTCGCTGCGGCGGACAAACGTGAGTTAAAAATAGCACGAGACAGGTGGCTGTGAAAACCATATGGAGGATAGCGCGTTTTTCATTATATACTGACTTAGCACGCATAACTAGATGCCAAGCTTTGTGCCAATCTCCCTGTTGATCGGAGATACTCTCGGATTTTTCACCGCGGATGCGATATGCCGTCAGAGCTTCAGAACGAGAACATTCTTGATATAGCCTTCGCCCTATAGCTCCGAAACGCGTGGATGTGCTACCTTTTGCGATATAGCAGGGGCAAATAGCGGAGACGCGAATGATCGTCGCGAACAGAACCTCTAACAACAAGCTCAAGACTGCTGTAATTTTTTACTTTGAATACTGCAGCGTGTATAAGGTTAGTAAATCTGTTAACTCACTATATGTATACTCTTATACGACAGCGTTAGTACCTTCTACGGAGCAAAGAAGAGAATGTTGTTCCGTTACGGTGGTTGTTCCGTTACGCGTGGATGGACGTTACTGCTTTTTCATGAGCCCCCCGAGATGTTGCGTAATGTCTACGATCGCTCTAGTGCTAGGATATACAGCTAGACCAGGCGTTAATGGCATCAACAAAACGACCGACGGCGCTACCAAAACTCAGACAATCTTGTTACAAACTGCCATCCTGACTGAGTAAGGACCATCAAACTGTAATACAACATGAACAGCTTTGTACTTTTGCGAGGAAGGAATACTTTGCCTCTTACGTGGAATAGCGTCTCGTTACCCTGTGTGTCTCGGCATGCAGTGAGTGACCTTATGAAATTACTAATCGACTCAGCCGTGGTATCACAGCTGTATCCAAAAGAGACGAAGAGTGTGTATGCACCATAGCAGGCTTGGTACGCAGCAAAGTCATAGACTTTACAGCACGGCATGCGTCATCTGCCACGAAGATCAAGCACAAACCACAATCGATATGAAATGCGGTACGTTCTATGGCATAGCGTATAACTCAATTCTTACCCCCCTGCAGGGCATCTAGTGTGTTGGGAGTGCTTAAGGAACTGGCTTAGTTGGAAACATGGAATGCATCAGGACGATGTGGTTCACAGCAAAGTTCCGTATGTTTGCTCGCTATGTCAGAATCGCGAAAAGGCTTGTGTTCTATTTAGCCTGCCATTGCTTCAACATGTCCCAAGTTATGAACGTGCCAGGGCTTGTGCTGCCCATCAGAGATAGGGCAGAGGTGCGTTCATTGCAAATCTTCCAGGGGGTTGACCAATTTGTTTGTATAATATACCGTTTTTCTGTTTCTTTTCTATTTTCTACAAAGTAATTGACATTAGGCTGCCAAGTTTCTCACTACATGCGAAGCCTCACCGCTTTATAACATTCGTCTAATGATACATAAATAGCATGTCGCTTACTATCAATAGGCATGTATTCATACAATGTAACCCAATCATCATTAGACAGCTCTTCTAGGACCTCGTTAATTGTTTCCAGCTTAGGCATAAATAATTTAGCTCTCTTAAAGCGCGGAAAGAGCTTTTGTAGAGTTAATCAAGGGGGTGGACAAGGTAGTAGAGGTAAAAAAAAAGTAACTCCAAGTTTGTTGTTTTTTACAGCTGTAAGCTGAATACAATAACAAGACATAATACGTGCGAGCTCCCAAATCCGTGGATACAAAGTGTTGCCTGCAGCTTTGAGACGTAGGTTATCTTCGTCTTTACAGTGCTGCAGTATAACTTTTACTATGTGTTTGTTAGGGACTGCGAACCAGATAGAAAGTTTGCTATGTCTAGTGTAGGCTAGATAGCTTAGGTACATGGTAGAGGTGGCAACCCCTTCAGTGCTGTCTTCTCTCAGCCATATATGTACATCCGTATGTATGTAAACTGTGTACATAAACTAGCTCCTGGAACTAGGAGCTGGTTCTGGGCGCTGCGCCACGCTTCATAGCTAGGGATATGCTGCGAAGGACGGTATTCCACAACTTGAGGAGTACAGCATTCTGTTACTCCCTAGCGAAGAAACTGGACCAACAGCAATATATGATGCGCTAAAGGTACTGACCCCGTAGTGTCATTGATCTGCATAGGACGAAAATCATTACTCGCCTTACAACTACACCCTATCAATGATCTTTCTTGCATTCAGCATGCTCAGGTGCATATGGTTCTTCCTTAGCTTATGTTCGGCTCAGATCATTCCCTTTGATCAACCACTGCCCATACTTACGAGTCCAGTGGTCCAAACGAAGGCTAGATATAACCTTTATTACCAGTAGGACCTCACTGTACATTAAACTCTGATGTATTTCTTACTAGTTACCAGACTAAGCAACTTTCGCAATTCCACCTGCTAAGCGACTTTAAGTTTCCAAAATGACACATTCCTACCTATATCTGCACTCGCAATCCCAAAGACATGTCCAGGCGATCAGACGGCAAGGTTCCGTATACCAGAAAACGTACCTAATGGCCCTGCTGCGCTTCAATGGTATGTTGAGCTAACGTTGTTGCTAAGTGAAGGCTTATTTGTATAGGGAATGCTCTGGCGCGAATGGCGTAGTGGTTGATCTTCTGGTTATTTCTGGAGGCTCTGGGGACTGGACCCGGTTTGCGGATGAGAGCGACGCTGTACGCATTGCGGTACATTGTCATGGGCACACTACGAACCAATCACACACTAATTCCACATGTATATAGGCGCGCGCGTAGATGAATGAATTCATTAGTGACACACTGCCACATGTCTTAGGTGCCGCAGGAGCGTGATATTCAATAATGTGGCACAGCGCGAGGGAGTTGGTGTGGCAGGCCTAATAATAGCAACACCTGTGATATTGAACTC